TCTTCTGGCCTTTTGACTGAGGGGGGTTGTGGTTTGGTTTGGTTTTCTTTTTTTTTTTTTCCCCGGTCACCTTCTGGGTTTTTGTGCCTGACAAGGTTGTTTCCGATAAGCAGACCTGTCAGCCGAGATGTCCTACCCCTACCCCTACCTACCTCGAGGCCCCGCACGGTGACAGAACAGGCAGCGGCGCACAGTACCGGGGTGAGGTTCTGCCTAAGGGGGGGCGCAGCGACAGGAGCTGATGAGGATTCCCTGGTGGACGTCTTGCGTGTCGGCAAGTGGCGTTCCTTGGTGCAGAAATCTTGGATGCAGTACTCCCATCTGTCAAAGCAAAATGTGTCGACTGCTGATTTCCCCAGTCGTCTGCTGAGCTGTAGCTGAGCAAGGCTGTGCTGCCGGCTCCTTTCCCCCTCTGAAGGGGAGCCTTAGGCTGCGGTGAGGGAGGCAGCGCTGCGGTTCCTCTCCTGGACCAGGGGCTCCAGTAGAGGAGGGGGATTTGGGAAGGGGAAGGCCCATGCTGCTGAGCCCCAGTTCGCAGCGGGTTGGTCTCTCTCCAGCAGCCTCAGTGCGTTCCTGCCTTGGAGGACGGAGCAGCCCTGACAGGAGGATGTGGAGGAGCACCTAGGGGTACCTAGGGAGGAGTCAGCTGCCAAGGCAAAACAACTTGAGGAACAGCCTTAGAAGTTTTAGGATGCAGCGACCTTTAGTCTTGGCCTTTATCCTGATGTCTGCCCTCCCCTTCCCCACAGGTCCCCCTTTCGGATACAGAAGTTGCAGAAGGGCTGTCAGCTACTGTTATGGCTGTCGGATGGTCGGAGGGTACGGCCAGGGCAGGTCTTGGGGCGTGCTAGCAGGCAGCAAGGGCCTGAGCCGCAGCTTCGCTGTGCTGAGACTCCGTTTTGCAGTTCAGGTGGGGAACTCTTCCAGTGCGTGGGATAGGGGTTGTCCGATTAAAATCGTAGGCTTTGCAACCTGATCCTTTGGCAGACCTTCCTGCTTATGGTGTTAAGATAATCAGCAACACAGAAAACTCCAGATGAAACTTGGAACTGGTCCGTTGCGTCCGAGCAGGTCAGCAGTGCCAGTGCCGGCGCTGAGCCGGAGGCAGGGAGCGCCCCAGGGTCCCTTCTGGCAGGCGTCGCTTTGGGCACCTGCATCCCCGCAGGATGGAGCAGCCCCCGGGGGCTTGGCCCGAGGCTGCGCTCCCCAGGCCGTGCCTCCTCTCCCAACAGGGAGGACTGACGGCCTGCTGCTGGCTTCTGCTGTCAGAGCGTGTTTTAAAGAGCACGCTTTAGGGGAACTTGTGCTGCTGGATGTAAGCCATACCGGTCTGGAGGAGGCGTTTTCCCCTCTGCAGATGAAGCACTGTGAGTCAGAAGTGCATGCTGAAAAATGAAAACCTTGACAGATTAAACTTGGTCAAACCTCTTTTTGGCAGAGATTCAGGCTGATGCTTTAATTTCTTTTTCATTTTATTTTCATTTAAAGAGAATAGTCTTACACGGTCAGGTGTAAAATTCTTGGCTTCAGTACATAGACTATAAAAATTAGATGTAGCTTATTAATCTGAAGAGACGCAGAGGTGAAAATGAATCCGCCCCAGTGCTGGTATCGGAATGGAGGTGAAGCTTCCTGTGGAGCCGTCCGTTATCTTTCACCATAACGGACGATGAATTTCTGGAACCCCTGATGGGTCCGCATAGGGCCCTGCCACGCAGCAGCGCGTGCAACGTACCTCCCTGCCCCGGAGAGGAAACCGTTCGGAATCGCACCAGAACCCATGGCTTCTGCTCCCATGGGAACGAAGCTGAGCCGGTGTTGGAAACCTGGTGTGGACAACGCACAGCCCGGGAAACCTGGAAGGATGGCGGGAATGCTGAAAGGTGTTGGACACAAGCTGGTGTTTTTAGACTTGTGGTAGGGATGTGATCTGAGAGGAGTACTGCTCATGGGAGTGCGGTTTTTTGTTGGGTTTTGTTTGTTTGTTTTTGTTCGGGGTTTTTTAGTTTCTTTTTTTCCCAATAAATACCCCCCCCCTCCCCGTTCAACTGTTCAGGCAACTAACCGTTCACTTCAGGCTGCTATTTTTCAGAGTAAAAAGACTTTATTGGGAGGAAGAAAAACCTGCTTGCTATGCAAAATGTCTGAAGTCGGCTCATTGTACAGTTGCGGTATTTCAATAAGTTACGAGCATAAAAGCTGTCACGTGCCCAGTTAGATGCCAAGTAACCTGCTGCTGGCAAAATCCAGGTTTGTGCCCCGATTGGCGTTGGTGCCGTAGTCCCAGTGACTCGCTCCTTCGGTGCTTCTTGCTCCCTCGGCTTTCTGAATGACTGATTTGAGAAAACCTCTTCCAGGATTGTGTTGAAAAGGACTATAAAACTAGGTAAGGAATGTAGCGGCCCCCTGTCCTGTCATCCCCCCTTCTCTGAAGGAATGCTCTGTGGTGGGAACGCTAAGATTTTTAAGAGGAAAGCAGAGGGGCCACATCAAACCCTCACAAAAGTTTTGTTAAGTCCAGAACACCAGGATTAGCGTGGCAGGCCTGTTCTTTCTTCATTTCAGTAAGGGTAAGCGAGCCTGGTGTTTTGTCCAAAGGGTCTGACAGGTTCTGCTGCTGCACTCAGCCCATGCAAGCTGCACAGTGTTGGAAAAAGTCTTATTTTAAGTCAATTTAAATGTGTTTAGAATACTTTGATTTAGATAAATTGGTTATTCAAGGCATGTAGGGACTTCATGAGGGTGGTCGGCTGCGCAGGCATTGTTGGTGCCGTGGGGGGCAACCGCCCGAGTGCTGCAGCGCACAGAGCTCAGGGTAAGGCACTGTGCATTGATACGGCAGCTTATAAAGTGATCCGGGCAACACGCTCGGATTATTGTCTTGTAATTGCTTTCCACTTTATTTGAAATTAGCTTTGGCTTTTTCAGCTAATAATTTGCAGCTGCTGCACGCAGGCTCTGAAACCGCTGCTGCTAGCATAGCTTTTTCACCACAAGCACCGCCAGTGCTGGCGCGGGGGGGACGCTGCCGCTGCCGCCGGCTCTGGGGCAGGCCGAAGCCCCTCCTGGAGGTTGCCGGGCCGGGAGCTGGTGTCACCCCCGGCCCAGAGGCTGCAGCTGCCTCGGCCACCTGCCCTGGGACTTCCCTGGCCTGTTGGGCCGCAGCGCTGCCAGCCTGCGTCCGAGGTCGCACTTAGGGCTTTAACTGCAGGCTTTCCGGGAGTTTTATCAATAACTGTGTTTATCATCGGACTTAGCATTTGAAAGCATGTGAGAGAAAACTTCAAATAAGCATCTTTCAGGTGTTTTGAAACTAAATTTCTGGTCACAGTTGCTGTATTACTGCAGGAGCAGCAATTCCACCTCTGTTTAAGACTTCAACGGCGACACACTCGAGTGCATTGTAAGGTTGCAGGAGAAGGAACGCTGCTCATGTGCTGGAAGCAATGATGTGATAAATAGGATGGGTTTTACCTTCACAACTCCGATCTCTAGTAGTAATAGAGAAGCAAAGTCTGAAAATCTTTAATTTGATGAAATTAAACTTGATCATCAGCTGAGTTATGGAAGCGTTCTAGGACATTCAACTGCAGACAGCGTTCTACCGGAGCAGAGCTGTTAAGAAAGCCTGAATTCCTTTTTCCTATAAGCGTCTCAGCTGCAGGTCGCTACCCAAGCAGAATAACTGTCATTTGCATTATGAAGTAGATAAACTAGAAACTACTTCAAATGGCTGTTGAATTTATTTGCTCGATAAATACAATCCTAACAAAATAAAAGTTAACCAATATTAAGAGATTTGTCTGAAGAACATTAGAAAAATCCATGACAATTCATAGGAATTAGTGTGAATTAAACAAACAAACAAAAAGTTTAAATATTGCCAGCAAATATAAAAACGTATGTAACGAAGGCAAGGGAGAGAATGCTTTAGTTTACATTTGTCATCTGACCGCATTTTCTGTGTTTATAAACTTTTTTTTTTTCCCCAAATTTTAAAAAAATACTATGCTGTTTTCTATAACGTATCAAAGCATTATTTGTACAAAATCAAATCATGGCCAATGATTCACAACAGTGCAATAGATAAAGAATACAACCACGTCCAACAGGTGCTGGAAATAAATATCCAGATTAAAAAATAAGATAGGCTATCTGCACTCTGTGGCGTTTGCTGTCCAGGTACGAATTGGTGGATGAGTCTCGTGAATGAAACGTTACATGGCCCCTGAACGCCCGCGTGGCCGCAGGCTTTCGAGGGGCAGAAGCAGCCAAACCAAAAGCGAGGCCCAGGCGGGGGCGGGTGGTTTGTTAACCCCAGCAAACCGAGGAGGTGCTGCTGAGCCCCCAGCGCCTCCCCCAGCATCCTCCTTCGGCCTCACTGGGAAAGCGCAGGTGGCTGGCATGTCAGCGGAGGGAAATGGGCTAGCGCTCCGTCAGGCAGATCTGGCCGAGGTGACAGCGCCCATCCCCGGCGCTGCCCGAAGCAGCCGTCAGGGGCTCTCTCCCAGGGGCTGACACATTTAAAATGGATGAAGAAAAAGCTCTTGGCTCGAGGGCAGCAGTGTGAACGCAGCCTGTCTTAAAGAGCTGTGATGATGGTGGTTTATAAATGAGTAAATGGGTTCCCTACATGGCTAAAAGACACAAACAGCTCTCGATGAACGTTTCCGTCATACAGGGACATAAATAACATCTCTCAAGTTTTTACATTTATTCAGCACATCTCCGAACAAAAATGAAGCTTAAGGGCGTGGTAGGTAAACGCGATACCCCGCAGTCTCCCAACTTTTCAGCCAGCCCAGAATAAATTTAAAGCTCCCTTGTATATAATCTGCATCAGAAAGGTATCAAAGGCACAAGCAAGAAGTGACTAGGTTAATAAGCAGAAATAATGGTGAATGAGGATGAATAGATTCACAAGGCAAATAATTAGTACGGGTGGGTGGGGTTTTGTTTATTTACTGAAAACGAGATCTTCCAATTCTGCTCCAATGACGGTAAATAATGATTTTGGTTTAAAATAAGACTTGTTACTGAATTATTTTAAATCACCTGAAGGAACCAGTCTTGAAATAATCTGATACTAACCGGAAAACTCTTCTGGCCTCTCCAAACTCACCTGAGTCTGATGAGTAGAAGCCGCAAGTACTGGAGACAAAAGTCTCCAGGGCTTAAAAGTAAAGGTTCTTTACAGAATGTACACAGCCAGCAATAATTTGTGCAGTTTGACTCAAATTACAGTAATTTGCACAGTTCAGTTGATTTTTATGCATATTCAAGGAGCCGGATCAAATTGGAGTTTCTTTCCTGTCCTTACTTGGCGATGGCTTGACTTGCTGCTCCTTGCTTGCTTTTGGCTGCTCTTTGGCTGCTTTTGTCTCCAGGACACTGTCTCTTTGCTGCTGAGAAATCCCCCCGCGTTTCTCTGGCTCCTCTTCTTCCTGCACCTGCTGCTCCGATTTAGCGCGCTGCAGCAGTCGGAGCTGCACTCGCAGCTCTATGATGGCCTCTCGCTCCTCGTGAATCGCTTGGTTCAGGTGATTGTTCTTTATCTTTGAAGTAAGGAAAACAAAGGTCAGGGCTCCTTCTGACAGCACTGCTGTCGCAAGGGGGCTGTTCAGCATCGCTGCTAACCCCGACGCGCACACAACAGCGATTTAAACCGCGGGTTTCACGCCTAGGCAAAGCAGATGCAAACCCCCCCCCCCCCAGTGCACATGTGCAAACGTCTCCGCGCAGACGACATCAAGTAAGCGCTAAGGAGAAGGGTACCAGTTAATACGGACTCAAACCTTACCTCCAGTTCCTCATTCTGCCTCTGCAAATCTTCCAGGATGACCTGCAGTTCCTCCTCATCTTCGCTCTCGCTTTCGCTCTCGGAAGAATATTCTTCAGTTTCACTTCGGCCATGCTGCTGGCGACTGAAAGAGCAAGGACAAACTCGGATTTAAATCCTTCCTCAAGTTTGCCAGAACTGCGGCAGCATAAGAGAGTTAACTTATGTCCACTGAATAATCTGCAACGGTTTAAAACAAAACAAAACAAAACAAAACAAAAAAACCCCAGAATTTCCTTTCAAAGCTTAATTGAATAATCCAGTGATTTCCTAAGGGGATTTTTTTAGTGCACAGGGTCTAGTTTCCTTTAGATCGTAATTCCATCATTATACTAACAGAAAATATCCCAAAAGGTCCAAAGTTGCTGAGATTTCAATAAAAAGAGGCTTTCAAAGGTGCTGTTCACAGGGTAAGTTTTTAAGTGTAGTTTAGAGTACTGTTTCAGAAGAGCACATAGGTACTTTTAATCAAGAAGCGCTCCCCTGGCAGGAGGTCTGATGGAGGCCGTCTCCCTTTTACCTTTGTATTTCAGCTATTTCTGCTCGAAGGCGATCTATTTCTTCCTTCTCCGAGGCAATCTGTCTCCGCAGAAACTGCTCCATGGCCAGCAGTTCCTCTTGTTCTGTTAAAATCTCGTTCTCCTGCAATGATCAATTAGTTCACTTAAAGCCTTGACTTTATGTTCTACAGGAACATACGCTAAGCGGGTCCTGGGAAGCGATGAGGTGACGCTGTTCTCTGCAATGCTTTCAGCAGACGTGGTTAGCACGCCTCCTTTGAACTCTGATTCATCAAGACCTCAAAGCAAGTGTCGGTTCAAAACCAACACTGTCTGTTCTGAATCCTCAAGACGATCGCTGTACTGAATAGTTGTGGAGATGATGCACCGAATTCTGGCATGTTCGGCTGCCTGTTCCCTTAAATCACAGCGGAAAGCTCGGATAACCAGTAAAATAACTAGAAAACCTGAATTCTAAAATACGTAGTATAAGGAGGAAAGTACAGCGAAGATCAAAGCTACTGAGGGAAGCAAAGGAAGGCAAAAAAGCCAAACCAGTTGCCTTGCTACTTTGATCGGCAGGAAAGCAGTTAACGGTATTCAATCGGGTTAGATTTGGAAGTGCTTTCTAAGTACGTTAACAACAAAGGCTACTTTTTTTGTTGTTGCACAGTGTCTCCTTTCTGCTGTTAACAAGAGTCTGCTCAGCTTGCGGTTCACTCCTGCAGCCAGCATTCCTTCCCTACTTTATTTACCATTAAAACAAAGCCTTGTATTTTCATCGACAGGGAGACCCCTTTAAGCTTTCAATTTCTTACTGCATTAGAAGGAACAAAAGAGTCTTTAATATTTCTGAAAGATATGGAACAAGAAACCACCAGCAGACAAACAGGTAAGAGCCTGCCATCTACCTGTGCAAGCAGAATATTTATAACTTCTTCGTTCTCATTCATTTCTTCTTTGGAGACATCCTCCTTTGAAAGGCTAGCAATTTCTTGTGCAATCTTTGTTTCACACTCCTGCCAGAGAAAGAGAACAACTTTTAAAAGGACAGCTTCCCCACTCACTCTGTTTACTGCAAAAAATATTTTTTCCGAATTTAGAATCACCATCTCGGTTGTCCTGACCCTTTTCAGCAAGGTCTGTCCCTGCTCTGGGACATAGGACAGTTTAAAAAAAAAAAAAAAAAAAAAGCTTCTGAAGTTTGTTAACCTTGAGTCTTCCAGTAATTCCTTTTGGTACTCCAGGACACACGGTTTTAAGCACGTAATGAATACATGCTCCATCCAACACTAAGTTTTTAATCATACTTTTTTTTTTTGGTAAACAGCTGTGAAGGAGTGTGACGATCTCGCTGTCCCTGGGGAGAGCCAGCTAACCAGAAAATGCAAGTGCTCTCCAGCCATGTAAAGTTAGTTATGATGACAAATCTGCAGTAAAAAGATTGAAATGTGGTTTGATCTAACTGGGTACCTTTGCAGTGTCACAAATCAAGGAATGCTCAGGTATTTTTGTTCCAAATTGTATGAATAGTAGGAATAAAGATATCTGCTCCACCCAGAGAACACCGTCCTGGGTACAAGCGTAACAGACTGCACTTATACTTCAAAAAAGTAGTGGTCAAATGATCCTTTTCCTACTGAACCCACAGAAGCACTCGTTACATGCATACACCCTGTCCATCTGTCTCTCTCTCTCTACGTATCCTGGAAACAGGGAAGAGCAGAACTCCAGCATTTCCAGTTGACACAGCTATATGAACTCATTAATTGCCCAGTTTTTCCCTAAAAATGCATTTGGATCCTCATACTTCCAGAGCTCTGTAACTGGAGTTAAAATAATACCAGAAATTATGCAAAGTTGATTCTAGAAAAGTCTCTTTTATATTTCTCTTTAGGGTTTGCAAGCTCAAACTCACAGACCAGAATGAAAACTTGAATGCACATGCAGGAACTCGTAATAAAATTCCTCAGTGTCCTCCATCCTTTCTAAATCTAAATTATAAACCCAGAGAATACTGACCCTACACCTGTCACACTCTCTGAGCGTTCGAAGAACCCCCCAGTCCGTGGCTGTAGACCCACCTCACATTTATGGTATTTTCAACTGTAAGATTAAACAGTAAGGCTGAATGATGCTCCCCAAGAAATGGGTAAATAGCGAAAAAATGATAGTTGTGAAACTTTAGGAAGAATTGCCATAGTTAAAAATACCCCACATGAGTTTAATCCCTGATTTAGATGGTTTTGGCCAATAAATAGAAAAGTTACCCACCTGTCTCTTAGCTTCTCTTAGTTTCCTCTTAAGAGCTGTTAAAATTCTTTGCACCTCCCAGAGTCTCTCTTCTTTGGATAAGTCTTTTATCCCTGCCTGCAAGTCTCTGTGTAAACAGTTCAGTAGGAACTCCTAGAAATACAGCCAAAGAAATGAGTGTCTTTAATATATCATAGCAGGGCAGACTGAAAAGAAAAAATCTGTTTGGCTTCAGGGCAACAGGCTTGGAGTTCTGGTTTTCGAAGCTTGACATGTCGACCAACAGCAAGCGTTCACATACATTCAGCACGCGATCTCGCGCTAGTTAAAGCGCGTGGATTCTTTAATACTGCTCTTCAGCGTGTTCTCCCAACCTTCCTCCCACCGTAAAAGGACTGAACTGCTTAGCAAAGCAGTCCACAAAGACGTGGCTACAGTCATCAAAAGACCACAGAAACTTTCCAGACACCCAACGGGCAAGAATATCACCCGTCTCTTTCCAGTGGTCTCCAGTGACAGCACAACTGTGATATAATTAAAGAGTATGTTACAAGCTTAAGAGAATTTACTACTGAATGTCTAAAAGCCAGGGCAAAGATAAAAAGAACACTGAAGTAACTGCCAACCTGTCGCCTGATTTCTTCTTTGATGCTTTCTTGTGTTTCTGGAAGCGCTGGCATTGTTGCCATATTTGACCAGCGAAGAGGTTTTGTCACCTGCTTTAGGGTCACATTCCCAAAGAACTCTTGAACATGTGTAAAAAACACATACAGGACGCGGTTGCTGATCTGCAAAGAAAGGACAGACAAAATATTGCTTAAGATGACTTATTCACCTAATCTTTACCTGTGAAGCACAGTATCTTTCTCCAGAAATAGAACAGCCTTTAGTATGCTGTTCTGTGAGTCACAGTTGTGTTAGTTTGTCCTAAGAGATTAAAATCTGGATTAAAACCAATACTTTAAATGACCTAGTGCTGGCCTCAAGGAATCACTTCACCGTCTCTCTTACCTGTGCATCTGAGGCACTTTCATGCTAAATTGAGAATTTTCACACGCCTTAACCTACCACAATTATTTCTATGAATCGCTGGTAAATACAGAAATAAATCTAGTATAAACTCTTTCATTTTACTCATGTAAAGGTAGCGATAGCAATAGGTAGGAGGGACCACCAACCATACTGCGCTATGGCTGGTTGCTGGCTACCTTCTCCCCCAACCTAGAAGTATTTCCTACTGCTTCACTCTCAGATGACTTAATAAAGTAGAAAAAGTAGTTTGAAAGGAGCTGCTACTGTATTCTTTGTTTTAATGTGACACAGAAGCAAGTATTTATTTTGATACTGTATCTCCCATTAAAATTCAAAAATGTATCCTGAAAGAAAGATTGGCGTTCTGTCACTACCTGCATTTAAATTGCGAAAATCTACTTAACAACAAAACAAGATTGGGCCTGCCTTGTTTTACATTCATTGTTACCTCTTTTGTTAGCTAGAAAGTGTCTGGCACAGCAAAATAACCAGAATAATGCCCAGCCCTTTTGCTCCTGGGCCTCTATCTAGACTCTTAATTATAAAGCCAAGCTTTTCTAAAGTGCGGGTTTTCTTCTAGAAGACCCACACCCCATAATGCCATGTTTCCATTATGCACAGGACTAATTCTGAGCTGTATTTAAATTAAATACTTCCAAGACGTTTATTAAGGAATGAGTCAATTCAGAAACCACAAAATCTTATTGGAAAACTAAAAGTCAGTCATTTTCCCCAGCAATCTGACCGCAGACACCAAAGCCATTATACCCAAGTCATTACTGCACCAGGAAGATCTATTTGCAGGACACGGTTTGTTGACTTGATATTAAAATTAAGCAACTATATAGTCTTCGCTAAATTATCACTGAGTCACAAGCCCACAGAAATTGTGTATCTGCATGAATTATTGGACAAATTCAGCATTAAATTACTTCTATTCACAACGGAATTAAAACCCTGGCAGCAGTCTTTGTAATACGCTCATAATAACCCAAATATCAGACCCATCGTATGCAAGCTCACACTCAGAAAGTCTTGCTCCTCCTTTCCCAGCATTTTAGGTTCCCAAGGTATAGAGAGGAGTTGTACTTCAGCTTAACTCTATCAGACAACAGCTGATTCCCGCCTGCAAGAGAATTCCTACAAAGAAGTCTTTCTCGGGCTGAAGTTCTGCTCTGACGCTTGCTGTGTGGCGCACGTACCTGGACAGTAGGGCTGAGCACTATGGAAATATTCTGGATGTTCATTTTTGTTTCCAGTTCCTTTGCAATAACATGGTCCATATGCACAATCAGCCAAGAAATCAGGAGATGGTTACACTCTGGCAACTCCTTCAGCAACCTCTGGCACTCCTGGACTTTCTCAGCTTCTGTGCTCTTCCCACAAGCATCTTCAAAGCGGGGCATTAGCTCTTTGGTAAGCAAATTTTCAGGCAGTTCTCGTAGGTACTGTTTCAGCAAGCTGGCTACTGTATTGGGCTCGTATTCTTCCAAGTTGGGAGATTCTTCTCGATCATAGGCTGCTTTTAGCTCATCAACTTTTGATTTTATTCCTTAAAATATTTAGATCAAGAATTAGGAGAAATCTTCAACTGTAAACGTATAATAGTTATAATTAAGCTTTTTTTTTTTTTTTGAGATGCATTTATTTCACCTCTCCTTACAATTTAAACTGATTGAGGGATACCTTTGAAAAGTTATCCACATGTAACAAAGTTAAAATCATGACTCAAAATTACGTGATCACTGATCACTGCTTCTAAAAGCACTGACTACTACTACGAAGCAAAAACACAGCACTGCTGAAGCTCTGAATGAGAACTGGCGCCAGCATTCCCTCACATCAAGGAACATAAAACAGGGCGAGGAAGGGTAGGGGAACGTAAGATTAATTGTGTATTTGCATTCAGCATCTTTCAGGCTGTTCAATTATACAGCCCTAAGCCAAGCAGCAAATATGCTATCAACTCCAATATTGTGCAACAAGTTCTACCTATAACAGCTTTCTTCTGTCAAAACAAAACCCACACTTTATTTAGTTTCCAGATCTCCAGCTGGCCCTCCTCAGCAGAGGAATCTCACACGGGATTCTCGATTTGAGGCACTGCATGAATAAAAGTGCGTTCACGTAGTTATTCAACCCAGCCAAGATTTTCGGTAAGGTGTTTTTATAACTCGGCAACATTCCAATCTTCCCAAACTCAGGGAAATTTCTTTCTTAAAGCTCAAACACCCACTTGAGTTACACCGACTTAATGCGCTGCCATGGCTTGGCTCATACGCAATAAGCAAAACTGGGTGCACTCAGCCCATGGTAAACGCCAGGTAAAATATGCTCGGTTTCATGTCCAAGTAAGTTAGTCATCGCAACGGCTGCTAGGTTGTTGAGCCACTGCAATTGTCTCTCTGAGCCCTCAATTTAAACAATCTCACACACACAAGAGGGTGCTGTTGCACTAGAGAACACCTAGAAAGTACAAACATCAAAAATGATTTACGGAAAACACACCTTTGTCCGTGAAAATTCCCAACAAATCGTATCTTGAAAAAACACGGAACCAGAACGTTCCAACAGGCAAGATGAAGAAACTGCTTAAGCTGCTGCGGTATTTATGCATGCCTACCGAATACCATGCAGATCGACAGCATGAAGGCAGCTTAATGAAGCCTTTAAAATCGTTTGATTACTGTTTCTTACAGTGCTAGGCAACTTGTTTCAAATGCTTTTCCTCAAATTCCTTTTCTCACTTGCTCTTGCTCCCTTAAACATTTCCACAGCAGTACTTCCATGGATTATATTGCAGATGCAGTTCCCAAATAAAGGGACTGTTTTGTTTAACGTGACTAAAACTGATGTTTCATTTATGTAAGCTGGTGTTACACAACTACCATGGTTAATTAGCCTGCTGTTGCTAAGCTTAAATAGCGAAACTTGTATTTTCTGCTTATTAGTGTATTTGCTTAAAGAAAAGAAGTCTTGAAGAAAAAAAAAAAATCATACAATGGAAGTAACTGGAAAAAGCAACTTAGTGGGAAGGAATAAAATGGTTATATCTCATCTTTGCTTTTGCAATCAACTAACATTGTATTTCTAATGCAGAGGTAAAAAATTACAAGCTGGCCATGCTAACACATTTTATTCATCGTTACCATCCTATCACAAAAGGCCAAAACAAGTGTATTTTTACTGCCATTAAGCAGTACCACCGTATTAGCAACTTTTCTGGTACCTCACACCTATGGGTTTGCTTAACTTGATTATCTTTTGGGTAATTAAAATTAATGCAGCTATAAACCGAGTCTCTAGGTGTTGAAAATGGTAAAATAATAAGAAAATTGCAAGTAAAGACCTTAGGAACCTGCATGTCAGTGTGCGCAGAGTACCTGAAACTCTGTAGATGCCTTCACATTTCATGCCATACTTCTCTACGTAATCTATACATTCACGGAAAACTGCTGGCAGGCGGATGCCATCATACATCATGGTCCTGTCTACCGCATCAGACAAAGGAATGCCAAACACGGGTCTATGACTCGGAACATCCACTTGAGGTATCTCTGTCTCCTGAATTGGTTTCTTCTTTTTCTTCTTCTCTTTCCACTGTTTTACAACATCTGCTGCAGTTAAGTCTTTTGACTTCTTCTCTTTATGTTTGTCATCTTTATGTTTGTCTTCCTTGTGTTTTTCATCTTTGGGTTTCTCTTTTATTTTAAAATCCTTTTCCTTTTTTTTGGAAAAGCTGGGTTTCTTGAAGACATGTATTCCCTTGGACCGCTTCAACTTTGAAGGACTTTCAGCTTCATCACCGGAACTGTCCTCTTGAAATGCAGCATAACCTTCCGCTATTAGGCAAAGGAGGAAAAGGACAGCTGTAAGTCTGTTCAGTTTCCAGATAGCATATTATAACAGGGAGAGAACAAGAAGTAGTATGTAAGGAGGAGAGAGAAGCAGCAACATGAATTAAAAAATAGCACCTGCCTGACTCTTCAGAAGTTTTTCTTTACTTGTTACACAATTAAGTGGACAAGGATTAAATAAAGCTTCATAATCGTATCAAAGATAAGCCACACAGCTCCTGAACGATCTAAACAATTAATACTTTATATACTTACTCATAATGGCAATGTCCATCTTATGGGCTAGTTTCCCATCTAATAGTCAAGGAAATGCAAAATAAAAACAACTGTCTGGCAACTTCTCTATGTTCCTGTAATCAACAGTATAAGAATCGCTGTTAAGGATCATCTACTACATACACATCAGTCGAACTTCTATTAAGAACAAACTAAACTTTAGCCACTTAACTCCCCAATCCCTTTCCAGAATATTATGAATTTTAAGGTAAGTATAATAAAGTTTCACCCTCAAATAAAATCCCCCAAAAAGTAAAAAAAACCCAAACAAACAGAAAGCCCAAGCGCACTTACTTTTCCACTAGACGAATAAAACAATTCCAGTAACACTCGCACAATACCTGTCAGCGAAGGTATTTGCCTTAAAAAGCATATGCGAGAGCTTCAAACAAGTCCATGGGCGGAGTACACCGTTTCAGCAGCAAAACACCAAGTGCCGTCTAAAATGCGCACCAGTGCTTTTACTAAGTACACCTCCACAGCTAGCCCTGCCTATCCTTCAGGCAAGGACGAGGAAATCTTTAAAGGTGGATTACAAAAAAAAAAAAAAACAAACAAAAAAACAACCAAAAAAACAACCAGCAAAAATCCAGCCCACAACCAAACCCAACAACATACAAACCAACACAGCTTCCAAGTCAATTAATTGTGATTTTACATAGGCAGTACCCTGTGTAAGAAAAGTAAGCCTGAAACCTGCTCAACAAAGCCGACATTTTACATGCCGTTTGCACCAGCCAGGTCCCCCGAGGCAGCGGGCACCAAGCTCTTGCTTCAACGTGAAGCCCCCATTATACAGATCCTTTGAGGCTCCTCCACCACTGACAGGCAGTGCCTCTGCCCCAGCGAGGAAGCACACCGACAGCCAACTGCTCTTCCTGCATGAATAGATATGGGTGGTGGAAAATAACCCCCTTAGATTATAAGAGAGAGCATCACGGACGAGATTATAGGCTGTAATTTTTACAGGTGAAAGATCTTGTGCAGAAGAACCAGGGGACATTCCGTTTTCTATTCTTCCAATTCTAAACTATATGAAGCTGCAGAGTTTCTCAGCATTATTTCAGCACATCCAAAGAGCTGTCTATATTTTGAAGCCTCCTTGGCTGCTCTGTAGAAGGTAGCTTTTAACAGTCAAATAAATATAAGAAATGTATTAAAGCATGGAACTGCCATGAAATAATTACAGTTGTTTGACCAGCTCACCCTTCCCATCCTGGACTCTTCCCTAGGACTACCAAACATGCACGTTCACAGAAGACGGCGAAAGACCGTAGCACTGTTCCTGCCCAAGTGCGTTTCAATACAAAAATGCAAACGTTAACTGGAGGACAACCGGCAACCAGGTCTCATCCTCCCAGTTTACTGGCTATACCATCATTCACTCTTCTTGTAAATTAAAACCAGAGATGGGTAAGGAAACCTGCAGTGCATAAAATAAGGATTCCAATCTCACTCCGATACAGAAAGAACCGCTGATGCACCAGCTACGGGACGAAGGAGGAGCACACACCACCGTTGTGTTTTGTGAGAATGAGATGGGGCTGGCACCGAGTTTCAAGATGGGGCTCACAGGTGTAACTTCCAAACAGGAAGCCAAATCTTCACCAGACAGAGCCCAGCACAACCTGCCCTCAATCCTTCCTGCTGGGTAGCTGTATCAGCTCCCAGCTGGACAACGTGGGGTCCCCCGTCCCCCCCAGGAATGGCACCAGCACGTCCGCTGGGTCAGCACAGGGCACCCAAGCTTGGAGGTCGGTGCCACCAACAGAGCACCTGCCTTGCATGTCTCAACACTCCACGTTGCAACACAAACCTTGGTGCTTTTCTAGCTCTGTGGTAATGTAACACCGGCAATAGCGCATTACCGAAACTGGAATTTCTTGACTTCACGAGAAGACATGAAGGAGCAAGTCAAATACAAAACCAGCCTATTCTAATTTGTTTCAGTAATGTAAGCCAACAAAGTTTAGATGACTAATTACAGATTCACAGAGAATCTCTCACCCACACCAAGACGGGGTTTGTATGTCTCTCAGAGTAGCCCAATTTTCTTTATCATACTCCTGGTAATAAAATTACTGTATCCCTTTCACCAGTGATACAATATATTGAAATATAAACAACCTAAATTTATACAGAAGAAAAATTACCAAAAGCACTTGACAAATCAGGTAATTTTAAATGTGGAAAGAAGTATTACCTACTGTTAGTAAACTGGTATTTCTGTCCACTGTTTCCTCAAGATTTCTAGTACTAATAGTCTGTATTTTCCCATCACCCTAACGTACGTCAATGACATTTTCCTGCACCTATATGAGACCAGTACTAATTTAATAAATACTCCAATTCCACGGGCATAACGACTGGACTATCTGCCAGTTCCTTGCTCGGGCTTTGTCAGACCTTCCACAAGCATGCCTTCACTGCAGTTGTTTTAAATATGATGCTGCAAGTATAGCCCTTATCTTACTGAAAATTATGAAAACCCGTTTAAAAACAGTAAAAAAAAATTCCAGTGTTACCCTGGAAAAATCTAACTTACAGGCTTAAAAGCTCTGTCATGCAGTGAGGCCACTGTTTCCATCAGTCTGCATACTTGGGAATACTTCTCCTGCACTCTTACAACGAAGCTATAAATTCATGCTATAATATTTATTGTTAAGACAAAGGGTTGCATTATGTAGAACTGCCACTTATCAAACCTACCACAAGATACATTTTGCGCATCAGGTCTCTGATGAGTTTTTAAGTCATTTATACCTTTAACATCTGATTTTGGCTCCCTGGGGAAATTTGCATGCATCTGTAATTAATTCACTGAAAGAAAACACGGATCGCTTTTACATATGGAAGAATTAGTAGGTCAAATATGACTATATGGACCAATGTGCAATAACTAGCATTAGTTATCTAATTTCAATTTGTCAGAGGGATTGCCATCAACTTGTACACCATTTCTAAATAAAATGGTAAGGAACACATGGATGCATTATGAGCTTGGGTAGATGGCTTCCATTTCCTCTCCTCACCCACAAGATGTATTGTTATTATTAATAGAAACTTCAAATACAGACACTACCAACACTTACTATCCAACTTTCAGTTACATCAGTTTGCTTTTAATTCAACTCACTGATGTGAGCACAGCACTCCCAAACAAAGTCTGCATTCAGATTACTGTGCAGTGCTATGCAAGGAGAGCAAATGAAGCTTTTGATTTAAAATAATTACTGGCATTGAAAGGCAGACTTTTAAACTGTTTGCAAATGATACTTTGCTAAACAAATACACAGTGGTATATAGATATACATAGTAATTTGTCAGTAGAATAGGATGTAGCAACACAGAAAGACAAACCTTGATATGAAGAGCCTCTAATGTTTATCATGGGTAGAAAATTCTAGTAACTTCTTATTCTGTAGATCTGGAAACTGTATTCAGAGCTTCTCCACACACCAGATCAGTAAAAATAATGTTTTGTTTGCAATAGCAGCTACCTGGTTATTTTGTAGGATGACGACGGCCTCCTTACAATTTCTAACAGATCTCTGCCTACAGACATGTAGCATCCATGTACATCACGCTACTGTAGAATCCATCTCCATTAGCACTCTGCACAGAGACGAAGGATCATAAGCACAGAGACAACTTATCATGTCATTGCTCTACCTGGAACAGCTGGGAATACTGTTAGAGCATTTGCGTGGTTGCTGGATGTCCACATTCCTGAGCAGAAATTATTTTGGAGAAAAATCCCTTAAGGTGACGGAAGAGAGAATAGGCTGCTGTCTTCCTTCTGGTGGTACCTAGCAGAGAGCTGCAGATCGCTAAAACCTCAACTCAGCAACTCAGAGAAAGAAGATAAAGGTTAACACCCAATTTGGACCAAAGATTGTTTGGAGCAGGCCCCCAAGTTAACAGGAGGAATATTTTAGCCCTCATCTACATCCCAAAAGAACATATAGGACCCCCTGCCCAACACATTAGGGATTTGGTCTTCAAAAATATTTCCTAAAAATTTCAGAAGACATCATACCAGTGATACTACTGTCCTTTCACAAGATAGTTTAGTTCAAAATCTAGTACAAATTCAACCAATTCTCCATTTTCCCAAGAATTATATAAAGAAAATGAAAATTATTCTAAACAAAAAAATCCTAGCTGCATATTGAACCCATCCTGTCCAACGGAACCAATCTCAGAAGCAAAACGAATAAGCAGAGTAAGATCTACTACATACACAGACTCTCTATTTACAGAGATTCTAACGGGTAGACCAGCTTTTTTTCATAAGTATTACTTAAAACCTTTTTCTTTTGCAAGGAACTCCATATGTTATGACTTTATCGACATGTGATTACTGACAGAAAGTTAAGAATTTTTTTAAAAAAAATCAATTACTCTGGTCATTGTCTCATATAAAACATTACTGCTTCAAAAAAAAAAAAAAAATCCGGCTTTGCTCGCATGCTGCCACAGCACAAGTTCTTGCATGGACAAAGGTTGTTTTGAGTCAGGAAACAGATCTGAGTTAAAACTATCCCAGTAAAAAGAAAATTAATCTTAACCCCTAAGAAGTCCCTTAATCTAACTCACTCTGCAGCTAACCAATGCTCAGGCCGTCACAGAGGAGTGGAGAATAGAAATCAGTGGCTGAAACTTTTTTCCAGTAGTCATTCCACATAAAAAAACACCCAGTATTCCATTTAATTTTCTATCACCTCCAAAAAATTTCTAGAACTTTTCCCCCAGGACAATTGCTGTGTATTATTAGGCTGTTGCCATTAACATGAAAAAAATCAAATGATTATATTACCCACATAGGAAAAAAGATCCCTTGCTAGCATACAAAAATGTTTTTGTGAAATAGGTAATAATGCTGAAGCTAAGAGTATATTACTCTAGCAAAAAGGATTTACCTGAAAAACTAAAATGAGTAACCTTGGGATATTTATTCTTCCCTCTCCACATACCCTGCTGCTCTTCAAGCATTTCTAAAGTTAACATTTAGAGTATTATTAAAATACCCCAAAATCTTTGTAGGATTAAAGTTACCTACAGTTTCAGGAGTTTGGATGACCTTGTCAATAATTCACTAATATTCTACGTTCAACAAACATTCACTCCGTCATAATTTAATATCAACACTTGTCTTTTTCTCATTGAAATGTTCAATTATATTTGTTTAAGCCCCAAATTACATGACCACAGCAGGTTGTGTATTGACCAAAATCAAAGCAGCTGGCCAGAAGAGCAAAAAGAAACAATCTGAACACACGCAATAGAATTTAAAAGGTGGAAGAAACTGAAGAATCAACAGTACAGAAGGAATAAGAAAAGGCAAAGCTGGAAGGGGAATTCTTAACATCAACCACATTAAGCAACTGTAAAGAGTCCTTGTCATTTACGTAAGTAAAATGTTTGTTCAGGGTGCATTTACAATAATGACTATTTTTGGATTGTACGAGAGATACCGAGAGCTTTGTATGTAACTTACCCTTATACCTGACTGGCAATTATGTGACATACTTATATTAGGGCTAAAATGCTGAATGCTTTTTATATTACAACTGCAAGAGAGAATTTGAGTCTTCCTACAATTTGCATTTTTGTGGATTTTTCGTACCTTTAAAGCTTCTTTTAAGTAACAAAAATTGCTTTACATCAGCTATAAAATGTGCTGTAACCACTTGTGGAAGAAAGCCGTTACAGCGCCAATGTGCACAGACCTGCACATATTTGCTGAAGAAGCATTTTTACTCTTCAGCCTTCAGTTAGACTATCACCATGAGACATGCAGAATTACACCACAGAGAAACCCACGCTGTGTATAATGCTGACCTCTAACAATTCCAAATTTAGAGGTGTCTAATCCAGAGTTGTAACAGAAAGCTGATTTGCAAAGAAAAAAACAGCTAGCAATAGCTTGAATTTAGACCCATCCAATCAATACTGAATTTTCATCACCAATCCAATATTCTGTATTATGTTAATGTTGTTTACATTAGGAAAAAAACCTAAAGAATCAGTTTCCTTAAAACCTGCAGGAATTCAAACTGTTGGTTTTCACTGGAGGATAATATATTTTTCAGTTACGGTATCCTTTATGCACACAGTCTTTAGTTAATAACAATAGTCCTCCTAAACTGTGGGAGAAACAAATCCCGCATTCCAGGAAACAGGTTTGATTAAAAGCAGTGCAGGGGCAGCAAATTCTTAAAGAGTAATTATTTAAATATGTGAATGCGTATTACAAATAGTCACCATATTCATCCTAACATGCCAGAATATTGCGTGCTGTCTCATTGGTTTTGATCTTCCAAATTTCACATCTAAGAAGTGGCAAGGTACACTGCCATCCAGAACTTCCAGGCATCAGAGACACAGGCATTGTAGAAGATTAACGTTATTTCGAAATTTTGCTAAAACAAATGTCAGTTTAAAAAGTACTATCATTTGGGCTACGATACTTAGGTTTCAGAGACTTGGACAGTAAGGATCTTTCTCGTACTGAGAGTGCTCAGTATCAGCTTAGTATTTCCAAGTGCTTTGTTCTTTCAGAACATGTAGAAAAACTCTATTGAATAAAAACTATTTCATGTTTCCAAAAGTTTCTGCACAAATCTAAAGGCAGAAAATAAGATTTCTCTTCTGTTCTTTTGGAGGAGGGGTACGCTTTTTAAATGAAAACTTCCATTCCGCTGATACACTGACAAAGAATGGGTTCTTATAGTCAAAGCTTTACTTTCTTCTAACCTTTACTCTGTCAGTTCTAGCAAATTCAGATCCCGATGTTGGCTTGCATATTTTTGAACTCTGCAATAATACTTAGGCACTGCTGAAGGAAGCTGCATGACCAGACTACACTAAGAAACTAGAGGGAAAAAGGACACAGATTTTATTACTCCTCAAATAATGGTGCACTGTGCACATGAAAACTTGAGATGGTACACAACAGCAAACTCTGAATACAGGAGACATAAGGGAAAACGGTCAAAGTTGTTGAAACTGACTCTTCCAAATTTGAAAGTACAAAATTCAGGTCAAACTTACAGTTTTATTTTAGCTAGCACCTCAGCTACAATTGCAAAAAGCATCTATTTGGAAATACACTTGGAAACCTCCACTTAGCATGTGCACAGATAATGAGATTAGAAGAACCCCATGCCAGGCAATTACCAATGCATCATTAAAGGTTTTGGATAAACATGTTTATTAATAATTCTGGGCACGAGCTTGGCACCTGTATCTGTGCAACAAAAACCAAATCCATTTTCTGGTTAAGGTGTGGGGTTTTTTGGAAGAGAAACAGGTATTGCACAAAGTCTGTTGTACAAGTTAACTTCCTTCACACCTGAACAAGTTCCATTGGGAATATTAGGCAATTTTGAGAGAGAAAGAAAGAGAGAAAGAGAAATTATACACATGAAATAAGAGAAGTTGCCTACTCACTTCTTTTTTCTTTCTTCTTAAATTTTCCTTTCTTCTTCCCATGCTCCTTTTCATCATCGGATACTATATCTGGAGGCTCATGCAAGCTGTCATGAGGTGGTGAAGGCTCACCGGTGCGGTACAATCCAGGGAATTTTGTAGGACTGATTTCTTCAGAGCTGGGAGTACGAGCAAGACCCCCACTGTGTTCTACCCGACGGTGTTCACTGGGGCTGCTAGTGGGAGGCAGGAAGCACTCGGTCATTCTGATTCCCTGATATCAAAGTGAGATCTTCTGCTACCTGTCCATCACACCTGCAGCCAGGGAAAACAAAAAGAAACCCCAAGCAATTTTAAGCAATAGGTTTCAGAACACCTTGTTTAGAGCTGTATCCTGAAAACACAACAAACAGCAATACCTTCTACAACGAATGCTCCAACTTATGTCAAGACACAGTAACATAACATCAGGTCCTAAGCTCAGCAATTGCAGAATCTGTTCATTAACTCCTAAGCCACATTAACATAATAAGAGAGCTGCTATTTTAGCCATCTCTACTTTATCCTATATAAAACATTATATATTAAGTATCAGAACATTTTAAATAATTCTTACAAAATTCAGAGACAGCTTGCATACTGATTGGTAATATTTATTAATAAATAGTTACCTAACTTTAAATTTTTTCCATGACATAGGTCTACCTGGAAGCTCAGAGTGCTTGTGAGCACTGCACTTAAGGCAAAGATTATTTTCATTTTTCCCAAGCATATTTTACAGATGCAAATAAGGACTTGCCTAGCCTGTTGCAAGGTGGGGGGGGGGGGGGGGGGGGGGGGGGGGAGAGTCCTAAAGTCAAATCCATCTTCTAATTATGCTAATGCAAATTAAAGAAGGTAGAAAAAGAATGATTAAGTTTTTCTGGTACACGGCAACACCTTCACATTTGAAGAGGCTGTATCAGGTCATCTGCACCCAGATGCTCGTACGTTGTTTGCTTGAGAATTATGGCCAAATAAAAGCTAAGATGAAAATTGCTGAAGGAAGGCAACACATAAATTCTCAGCAACGGAAGTCGTAAGCAAAAAACTCTTCCTAGCACAGATGAATTTCAGAAATTCCACAGAACAGATATGCTGTATGGGACATCACACCTCCGGAGTCTGCTTTGCTGAATTTGGCCCTTTGTGTCTAAATGGTATGAGCCCTTCTTTCAAGGGATGAAAATAAAACAGAAATAGAGCAAACCCCAGAAAAAGAAAAAGCTATCTCCCACACGCACTGGTATACTTCGATGAGAGGTCAAGTCATGGTCGCATGCTAACTTTAATCCAACTTAAATCCGTGCTACAAGGAAACTGATCTATTGGAAGACAAACAGAAGAAAAAAAAGATATATTTTTTTAAGCTACATCAGTTCCATAGCCTGGCTCTCTATGTAGCCATACAAGTGTCAAGGCAAGCACAAGGAAGGCTGAGAGAGTTGGGGGAAGGTGCCCTGCACTGCAGACTTAAAGTGATCAAGGTAACTGTGTAGCCATAGCCTCAAAAAAACAGAATTAAAACACGTCGTAAGATTACACACAAAAGCCATATCAAACCTATTTCCATAAATATTTTAGTTTCGACAAGAGTATATCCAGATATAATAGCTGTGGCTTCTGCACTAGCCTTTGGACTCTGCAGTAACCTCTGGTACTCCTGCTATTTAATGTTGATGTACAGATTACAATTAAGAAGAAAGTAGTCAACCCTTTGCTAAGTTAAGCAAACAACCATGAATACCCAGTATTTTATAAACCCCTCATTCAGAGAAATAAACAATACATACTGGCTAAGCAGGAACTCCTGATACATCATGCAAACTGGACTATAACTTCTTATGCAAAAGCAGAAAGCCTCTTTTAAAGAGAATAGCATTAACGTGAGGCACTGCCATTTTCTTTTTTTTTTTTGTCATGCTTGTTGGGTTTTGTTATATTTTTAATGGATATCAAATACTCCACTGCTATGCTAATTTGATATTGTGTTTAAACAAGTAAATGCAGTGCTCCAATAACACATTTTAGGAGAAATGTCCAGGTATCTCAAGCTTCAGACTTACAGATCTCAAAAAAGGTCAAAACTTTCAGTTATACAAGCATTTTCAATATTACCAATGACATAGACTAGCAGTACTATTCTCATCTGAGTATCACAATAATCTGTAAAATACCTGCACAGCACCTGTTTGCATTTCATCTACCAAAAAAACCCCACCCCATCCCAAAAAACAGAACCCAAAACACCCCTCCCCCCAAATCTAGCAAAAGCTATTAAACAATAGACAGTATTTCAACAGTAACTCATGGAAACGAAATTAGAAATATTACATATAATTTTTTTAATCCAACAGGATGGACCACACCTACAAATCAGTCCCTGTCTAACGTGGGCAAGATGGGCAAGTGCACAGAGGAAAGGGATAATGTCATTGCAAAGGCACCTAAACATCACCCTGGAAAATGAGGACACGCCTGCTTTGCCCCTGGACCCTGGCAGGGCTCCTGGGATGAAGCCAGACTTAGCCCCTATGTTCCACGACGTTCTTTAGCTGTGTTTTACTCAGTTACTAAACTCCTAGGGTCTTACTTACAGACTGGTACAGAAAAATGTAATATGGAATTGTGTTTTGCCAGGTTAATAATCATAACTGTGTCCAGCTAATTGGGCTTGGGGGGGGGGGGGGGGGGGAGTGAGATATATAAAAATAATTGTTGGTGCCTAGTTGTGGGGGGGGGGGGGGGGGGGAAGGGATTGTTGTTTTTGTTTTGTTTTTTAAAAAAAAACTCTCATCCTTCAGTCTCTGTATGCAGAACAGAGTGAAAATTTAATGTATGTATGAAACAAAGTATCTCACTACAGGAGATCACTCACAGAGTGCTTATGGAAATTAACAGTTACTCAGATCAGGATTTGAATAGGGGACAGTAAGACACAATTATGATGAGAAACAACATATTCATGAGGCCTTTTAATATTGTTCATTCTTTATTCTGGGCAGAGACACTAACTAAAAATAAAGATAATGGTGCATATCTGTAAATGCAATAATTTAAGACTGCACTTATGTTTCATATTTTTTGTTTTTTTACAACTTTAAGAAAGCATTACTTTCCTATAATTTCCTAGGCCTTTAAATAAGTGAGAAAGTCCACCATGCTCAAATGATACCAGGACTTATCAGCAGAATCAGCCTTTAGGCCCCTACTGCAAAAACCTCCTCCACTTTTACTCATCATACAATGGCTTGGGCTGGAAGGGACCCTGAAGATCATCGAACTCCATCCCCCCTGCCATGGGCAGGGGCGCCACCCCCCAGACCCGG